AAAAAAAAAAAACTGAAAAGTGACATTCAATGAGTACACCAGCATTTAAATTAAGGCAGAATAAATAACTGTTTAGGTCAGTGGCAGGCATTTCCAGACCCCGCTGGAGCTGGGGCACTGCTGCTGCTCTCCCCCAGGTGCAGGGGCTCAGCACTGTTGTACCCCCAGCACAGGGTGAGGGCTGGCCTTGGGCTCCCCGCGCGGGGTCCTCTCCTCTGCTCCCCGTGCTGCGCATCGTGCTCAGTGCGGCAGTGTCGGTGTGCCTCAGGCAGCTCAAGCACATGCTGTGAAAGGACCCCCCACCCCACCATAAGGTCAGTTTGACTTTGCCAAGCAACCCCGCCCTTTCCCCACCCCTTTTATCTGGAATCTTGTATCCCCAGACTGGCTCCTCCATAACTGCCTCTTGGTTACTTCAGCATCATCCCAGTCCTGGACCAGGGAGAGATGATCCACTGGCCTTGGGGAGGGACTGGATGCTGTGAAAGGCCACAGCACAGTTCATGATTTACAAACCTGCACTGCCTTTGGAGCAGTAACTGATGAACAGTTGAGCCTAGCTCAGCCCAGGTGAGTGGCTTAAGTGACACAGTCCACTTAAAGAAAGGAAGCCACTGCTCTTGGTAGTGTGAAGAGTTTCCCTTTCTGTTGGGGAGGGGCAAAGCAGTTGTAACAGAGCTGGGCAGAGTTGGCTCCAACAAAAAAAAAAAAAGTGGCCAGTTAGAGGGATATGGCTGTTGGTGTGAGGGATGGCACATACCTCATCCACAAATGCAACCACAGAGTGAATACAATCCTGCCAGATAGCACAAGGTGCTCAAGGGGAAAATAACAAGTGTCCCACTTTTTCTCTGCCAGCGGAACAGTCATTTAGAGGGAAATCCTCCAAACAGCAAGAGTTAAGAGCTCTGTTCCATCCCAGCCAGTTAGTGTATTAGTCCCAACTTCCTTAAACCATGAGCAGAGGACAGAACAAGTCCTTCCAAAAAAAACCAAAGCACAAACATAAAACCCATTCAGTTAAAATCTGGCTTCTCAAAGCCTGTATAAAACCTAGATGCCCTCTTCAGTTGGTGCATAAGAAAATCCTAAAAATGCATCTGAGGCACTGGAGCTGCTGGCTGCTAGGTCAGGCGTGTGGGTGATGGAGGTGGAGATTGCTTCTTGGGTGAACTCTGGATCAAAGTGCCGCAGATCAGCTGGACCAGCCTAAGCCAAGGGGCAGAGAGAGACAGTGATTTTGAGTGAGCAGACACCAACCAACCGCTTCTGTTGAGACAGTCTAACAGAGCTGTTCTTCCAAAAGCACTGTCATCACTACATTTGCAGCTCCTAACCTGCACTTCACCAACCCTCAGTGTCAGGAGAGGATCTCTTGACAATCTGGAGAGGATTCTTTTTGTACAACGACTATGTAACACATAGCAACACAAATACCCACTTACCACATTGGGGTTAAATGGAGGAGTAATCCTCTTGTTGTACAAGTCGTCCCAGTTTATTGGGCTGAAGAATACATGGTTCTTTATCTCAAGCTGCATAGAAAGCGGGGGGGGAAAAAGTCAGTCTTCTGCCAACACTCCTTTCCCAGCACCTGCTGGCTGGTTTCATAACATTCATAACATTAAGCAAGACTTGGAGCTACCAGATATCTGTGTAGGGGCCACGTAGCAAATCTTCATACAGAAAGGTCATGGTCCAGTAATCCCTCGAAGGGATGTGACACCATCACACACTGGTGTCCTAGCTTGCCCCACACCTTGAATCATAGTGGTTCCCTTTGGATATCCAAGTCAACCCCATATGGCCCTTTTAGGGGGCTGGAGAGAAATCAGCATGCATGGAGGCCTTTTTCCCAAGGCAGTACTATTATCATGCAAGAAAGGATTAGGAGGGAGGATGGACAGGAGGCATTTCTATCCTGAGCCTAATGGAAACAACCTACAAAGTCTGTCTTGGCACCCAGCCTCCTCTTCTGGTCCTTATGGAGCAGCCCCTGGAGGATGTCACAAGCTGCCACAGTCTTGCTTCCTTGGATCTGGAGTGGCTTATGCAGAATGTTGTCATACATCTGAGACACATCCCGGCTGTAAAAAGGAGGCTGATTTGAAAGAGAGGAGAAGCAGCCAGGTAAAACATGAGCTACCATAAGGAAGCACACACAGCAGGTCAATACAAGTCCTGCGGCAAGTAGATGACAGAGACCTGATGTATCTCAAACATCTCCCTGCTCAAAGGCCAATAGTATAATTGAAACAGGTCATCTAACTCAGGATTCAGTTGTCTGTATCAGGTACCATGTGAACACCAGACCAACCTCACATCAACTTTCAAAAATAAATTCTCCACCATGTAGCATAGAACAGGCAACTTCCAAACTTACCAGTCCAAAGAGCATCTCATAGAGGACAGCTCCTAGGCACCACCAGTCTACTGTCCTGTCATACGGCTGCTTCTTCAGCACCTCGGGAGCCAAGTACTGGGAAGAGTCAGAAGTAAATATTTAGTCAAGTTATAAAGGAAGGGCTTTGTCCTCATGAGTACACAAACCTGGCTGCACTTCAAACTGAGCAGATGCATTAGGAAGCACACAGATGCATTTCCTGCTATGCTTCAGAGCAATGGGTTTGAAAGACACCTACTAACACCCCCAAAGTCTTTTGCTGGGCTACAGAAGGTTCTCTTCCTGTAGAGGACTTGTACAAGAACTTGCCACCCACCACAACTCAGCCAGCAGACCTGTCCTGCACTGACACATTACACCCCTGAGAGGCACCTGTGGTTTTGAGAAAGCTGCAGCTTTCGGTCCCAGCGAGTCTGTCCAAAGCAGCAAAACTACTAACCACCACCATAGAACAACAGGGAAGAACTCAAGCGGCCTGCAGAACAAGCAGCACATCAAGTCTGGTCTCATATAGGATTATTTCCATGTACTATCAGGCTCCCTATCTAGGGCAGGAAAAAAACACACATCAAAAACCACAAACCTAAGCTCAAACATTCCTGCCTGGTTCAGGCTGTACTGTTTCATAAGCAGGTCTCCACTGAAAGTGGAGGGCTACCACCAGGAAATTCCTGTCCACTTCTCCTGAGCTTGAACACTGAAAGGTATCTTGGTTACAGACCCTCCCTTCAAGCTGTCTGAGGAGGGGCAGCAGGACAAGTGTATTACCCAGGCCAAAGCACTACCAAAATCCCCAGCTCAGCAAGAAGCAGGAAAAAAGCCTCCAAGAAGGCAGACTGGAGATAGGTTTTAGCAAAACCGAGTTGAGGTGCATTGGAGAAAAGGCATTTCCTCCCCTCTGAGGAGCGTTTGCATCCCAGAGGAGAGCCAGGTCCTCTCCTCTGCACAGGGTGTTTTGCAGCTCCTGCCTCCCAAGGACACACAGAAGAGCCCAGCAAGGTCCTGTGTGTGTCAGTACCAGCAGGATCCCTGTTCCACAGCCCCAGGCTATCAGAGCAGGTAAACAGCCCGCCCATGGGCTCCCAGGGTCAAGGTTGCCTCCACAGCCACCTGGAACAGCCCCAGTTTCACAAGACCAACCATTTCCAAGCACAGGGATCCCTGCCCCTGATAGCACAGCAAAATTTAGAGTATTAATCAGCTGTTACAGGTAAAACTGCTGAGTAGGGAAGGCCTTATCTGAACTCCAGCTTCAGGCAGACAATCTCAAAGAGCCCATACTTTGAGATGCTGAGCACCCAAAAAAGTTTGGGACCCAGAGCAGCAAGTCCCTGAAGGCTTCCAGCCCCCAGATCATAGCAAGACCCCAGCACGTGCTGTACCTCAGGAGTGCCACAAAAAGTAGAAGTTGTCTCCTCTTGCTCCATTCCTTCTTTGCAGAGTCCAAAGTCTGTCAATACTATGTGTCCCTAAAGAAGAAAGAAATTTCAGCTTGGCCCACTCTTTCTAGATAGAAGAAAGGATTTCCAGGTGTTGGCCTTCACATTGCATCTCATGTAAGTTTTAGTTCCCCACTTCTCATCTGCTTCCCCTCCCTCACCTTCTGGACATCCTATAGTACAAGTACAGAAGCCTATAGAGAAAGTAAAACCTAGTGTGGTTTTTTTTGTCTACAACTGGATAGATACAAAGAGATCCAGCACTGCTGCGCTTTGCCACTGATTTACCCCAGATCCAGTTTTTATGGCAGCCACCGAGAGAAGCAGCAGTGACTTGCTCTTAACATCCCTGATCCCTGCCCACAAGTCAGGTCCCAGCTCTTGGGAAGGAGCTGAGAGTGCTCCAAGCACGCAGTTCTGCAGAGGGCAGGCTCGCTCCCTCCTGCAGCATCTGCACAGAAATGCAGCGGTACATGCGTACGAAATCCATGCCATGAAGTGAGCTATAGCCCAGCTTGCAGAACCACAGCCCTCTGTTTATGGTCGTGATGCTTTTAAAGCCAGAAGGAAGGCAGTGCGAGCTGTGAATATACCTGGCCATCCAGGAGAATGTTCTCAGGTTTTAAGTCCCTGCAAGACAAAAAGTGCTGTTTGAGCAGATTTGACCAGATATTTAGAAAAAGCCGCATCTGAAATAGCATCAGCTAAAAACAGGCACTAACAAAACTTCCCAATCCAGTGCACCAAGACCTTCCCAAAGTGCCAATTCCCATGACTGCTAGGTGTCAACATACACACATGCAAACACAGAAGGACTGCTGTCACACAGGATCAGGTGTCAGCCTGCATTCCCCTGCATGTCTGTTCATAAATTGTTACTGAGAGAATTTCTTACTCATTGAGCCAGGTTTATTTTAGATCTTTACGCTTAACCATTCTCTCTCCTTCCCACTGTCAGGCTGGGAGCATTTATTGCCCATCAGGTCCCATGCAGACAACACCCCTCTTGCAGGATAAAGTGCCAGCAGCACACTGTCTTGTCCAGGGTAGGAGATCTTCAGCTTCTCCAGTCCTGCATTTTGCAGGGCCCCAGTGAAGCCCTGTTCCTCCCCAGCACCGCACACAGCCTGGCTGGGCAGGCTCAGTGCCCCTGGCACGTGCCTTACCTGTAGATGATGTTTAAGGAATGCAGGTACCCAATTGCACTAGCAACTTCTGCAGCATAGAATCGAGCCCGGGGTTCACGGAAACAGCGCTCCCTTTGCAAGTGGAAGAATAGCTACAGGCAGATGAGAGGGTTGATCATTTCTTCTCTAAAAAAAACCTGAAAGATATCTGGAGCAAGCCTGAAAGCCAGCTACTTAAGTGAAAACTGATTTGCAACAAGTGGCACATGAACCAAATAAACCCAAACTAAGTAACTTTAAGCAATCTAAACACCTTCCTAAAAATTACTTCATTTGTCCTCTTCTTATGTCACAATCTCACTTAATTCATGCCCCAAAAAATGGTCATCTGCTATCTAGTTAAGCCTCCTAGCTTGCTAAAACCCACAGGCCAATTATAGTGGTGGTATGGCCATGAGAAGTGGTACATGCACAGAGCTGAACCCACTTAGATCCCCAGAAGGAATTCTGTTTGGGCAGGACACCCATGTTAACAATGTCTCCCTGCCAGTTTCGGATAGCAGAGAAAAACACAGCTGAAAAAAAGGTAAGCTTCTGCAGGACAGAAAAAGAAACCTAGCATATGGCAATGGCATCACAAGCACTAGACTAGGATCCAGAGCTGGCCTAGAGGCTGGCTTTTGCCTAAAGCTCACCAGCATCAGTATTTTCCATATTCTCCATAGGATTTTAAAGTGCCCCAACACATGTTTTCCTCAGCATCCTTGCCTTGGGAATCATCCGACTCAGGTCATAGCCAGCAAGATCTTCACTCAGTTTTCAGGTGAGATATCATGCCAACTACTCCTGGCTGGTCCTTACCAGCAACCAAAGCAACATTATGCTTCAACACCATTATCATCTGACAAGAAACTGTTTCAGGCAATGAAGCAGCATGTTTGGGAAGGAGCAAATAGAGGATTAAAATAAAGCCTGTAAGTGCACTCACCTCTCCTCCATTTACATAGTCAAGCACAAAGTAAAGCTTCTCCGAGGTCTGGAAGGAGTAGTGGAGTCCCACAAGGAAGGGGTGCTTGACATTTTTCAGGAGCACGTTGCGTTCTGCCATGATGTGGTTTTGCTATCAAAAAGCAGGCAAGGCATTAGAGTTGCAGGCAAGGGTCCAGTCCAGTTTGCCATAGGGGAGCACTCCTGTTTTCGAAACAAGTGGAAGCTGGGAGCCCAAGGTGGTCATCTCCAGCCCCAGGAAGGGAACCACTCTCTATCTGACCTGATTCATTTCAGTTCTTCTCCATGTTCCCATGGCACAGAGAAATCCGTGTTTAACGTATGAATTGTCTATGCAAATGCCAGCCACAAGCTACCCAATTGCGTTACCAGGAGAGCTCATACACTGGCCACTGTTTGCAGAAGTAGCCAAGGAGAGCAGACATACCTCCTTTTTCTTCAGGATGGTTTTCTTATGCAAGACTTTCACTGCATAAAAAGTCCCGTCACACTTGCGCTTGGCCAGGAGAACCTGCAACAGAAGGTCTGGTCACAGCTGTCAGTCTCACCTTCTGCTGGTTGGGGTTTCCTCATTAGCTTAACACCCTTGTGAGTGATTATACATAGAATACAGCTTCAGAAGGTCAGGTACAAAGTTTTAAAGACTAAGCTCCAGCCCTCTGACTTACCAGCACTTTCTCATTGCCAGAAAAGAGCACACAACATCCCCACATACATCTCTTACACACCTGATAGGAAATAGTTCTGGAGCAATTGGGGACAGTCCCATTTAAAATGGATCCTTGCTATCTCACAAGGTACAGGTTTGTCTGGAGATCTTTTGCTAGCTGACCAAGTCTGAAACTTATTATGAATCAAGTCCTGCTCCTCACCATCACCACCCTGAGCATGAAACACCTCCCACTTCTGTCCTTGGGGAGGTTGCAGGACAGCTCAGAGTAAGAACAGACTACGAAACCCTGTCTCAGGTCTTGTCTGGTCTCAATCCCACTCAAGCCAAACTCCTCAGGAGAGGTGCAAGTGAAGGACACAGCTAGAAACTCCTTCAGAGAAAAAAAAAAAAAAGAACAACAACAACACATACACCAAAAAACCACTTTCCAAGCTGCCTCTAAAGAGCTCCAGCCCACCTGTACAAACCCACTTACTTTTCCAAAGCTTCCTTTGCCAATAACCTTCAGGAAGTCAAAGTCTGTTGGCTTGGCACTGTTGGGCAAGAATTAAACAAGTTAATGTTTCTGGGAGAAAAACATGCAACACTACCATCAAAGCAGCGTTCCTTCTTGGAAACGTGAGTGTTTGAGAAAGGGATTAAAGAGCACCGAAAGGGTGACCCTCGCTCCCGGCCAGCTGGGATTCGCACAGTGCATGTCAGTGTGCCCAGTGAGGATGAAATCCTGCCACAACCCACCTGTGGAACACAGCCACAGGTGAAAGCACCTGTTGGGACCAAGTGGCACCTTTAAAGGTGACACAGTTCATCCCCATTTCTAGAGAAAGGGAGCCAGCAGTGATGAAGATCTTCCCTTACTACTTCTCAAGAGAGATGGGACAAGGGGCTACAGACATCACAATCATCCTGTCCAGCTGGTCCATAGGGACCAGCTATAGCCAAATGTCTTGAAAGCTGGTGCATTGGTGATACACATGGTATTAAAGGCCAAGTAATGTAATTGTTAGGACTTTTGCAGACACTACCCATGCAAGACACAGGCATATCCCTGCCAGATCTCTCCACCATACGTTCCACACCCTACCTGGCTTTTGCAGGGAGCTTACTTTGGGTTAGCTGAAGGTCCAAGGTTGATGTTGTCAGTTGGTGTTGAAGGCTAGGGAGGATGACAACAATATTAGTCGCAAGGACCACGCTACAGGTTGTGCTTTCCTTTCCTCAATACAGCATCACTTGCACAGAGCCACTGATAAACACCCCTCAGCAAAAGACGGGGGGATGCTTGGGCAAAATTTGAAGTGATGGGGACATGGAGAACAGAGCTATGCATTAAAGCAATATCATGCCCAAGCTGGAGGCTGTACTAAGCTAGAGTCTATGCTGAAGTGTTCATCCCATAGTTGCACAAAGAAAGAGTACCAAGTGACTGCTTGGCTCCTGACTTGAGGTTTTCAAGACCTGCTGTGCTACCGTAGAGGAAAGGCACCACATGGCTCAGTTGCTCAGCACAGCACCGAGAAAAGACACTCCCCACTGCCTGTGCTGGGCAAGGAGCCCTGCACACAGCTCTGGGACAGGAGCACTCCTGCAGCAGGACATCAGCATCTCCCCACAGCCCTTTGCCCACTCCCATTTACCTGCCAGGAGCCTTAGAATTGACCTGATGCAGACCTGGCACCACAGAGGAGCAGCCCCCCTCTTCCCGATGACACAGAGGTACATACATACACATGGTTGTGCTCCTCTTCCTGCTCCCCAGGAATCTTCCCCAACTCAGGATATTATGCCTTGTCCAAAAGGTATATGGGGCATCTCTGCTCTCCTTTTCCTCCACCCAGCATCACTCATGGGGACAAGGCAGCAGTAGGACTCCTAGCAAGCTAACACAGGCTCTCCTCTTTGCTTTTCTCCTACAAGCTCCAGCCCCTCTCTCCATCCCAAAGGTGAGGACCTGCTGGCTCAGAGCCATGATCTCACCTGGGTGCTTTTATCCGGGCTCCGGGAACGATCCATTAAAAACACAACACGTTCAGCACTTGGGAAAAGAAGAACAAGCCAGTATTGAAAACAAAATCCCAGAAACAGCTTTGCACCATTAAAGTGCCAGGGACCAGTACAGACCCCAGGGGCATGCTGCCCTCCAGAGGGGACCTCAGCTGGGCTTCTCAGCAGCCCCTTTGCTAGCACTGTTGCTCCCAAGGGGTGGGGGTACACAGGCACTGGGGGGCAGAGGACAGTGGGGGCATGCTGATGGGAGATGGGGCAAAAGGTTCCTGGGTGCACAAGTGATTTGAACAAACACAAACATTAAATCAGTTAGCCCTTGATTTGTAATGGCAGCAACTGGTCAGGGCACTTATGGGCAAAGCCCAGCACAGCCCCAGCAGCCCTGACACACCATCAGAGACCAGACAAGGTGGCAGCTCTCCTGGCCATGGCCAGACCCCTCTGGAAGCAGGTACATCCCCCACACCACCATGCAGGTGTCCCCACAGGGCAGCCAGGAGAGGCCAGTGGGTCTGGCCACCACATGCCATCTGGCCTGGCAGCAGCTGGGGACACTGCAGAGAAGAGAGGCTGGCTGTGGCAGCCAGGGAGGGCTGGGTGAGCAGAGATGTTCAA